TCCCCAGAACAGCTCTATGGAGCTGAGTCTCTGCAGAGAACTTTATGGACAAGTTTTGGCCTTTGCCTGTGACAGCAAAGGACTAGATACAGCCCAGGTATCTTATGTTCTCATTGCCCTGTGATGAAGGAGGGAGTCTCACCAGAGCAGGCTGCTCAGGGAAGTGACTTTTGAGACCACATCAATGTGCATTAAGATGGTGTGTTTGGCAGGAGGGGATATAGTCCTTTTGATCTGGAGGCGTTGAGGAAACAAAAAATACTTCCTCCAGCAAAAGGCTGGAGAACATGTAGGAAAATGCTCTTCTGAGTGGAAAGTACCACATCACTCCTTCCTACACACTGTGCTGTGCTGGAGATGGCCAGCATCAGGCTGTCAGGCTCAGCACCAAGTCAGGCTCTGAGCAGCCTGAGCTAGTTGGAGATGTCCCTGCTCACTGCAGGGGGGTGGACTAGGCGATCTTTAGGAGGTCCCCGTCTACCCAAACCTTCTATGATTTGGGGCTACTTTAATACTTCTGATGACTTGCAAAGGTTTTCATACCAACGCCCCACCAAAGTGTTTGACCGCTGAAGGACAGCCTACAATGCCCTTCCAGAATGGTCTCCAGGCAGCTCGTGAAAGAGCATGATAACTCTAGAGTCCTGATGAGACCCAGCTCCTGCCTATGTCGGCAAATGAACTGTGCAACGTATGAGGGGAGGGGGATAATGCCACTAGGACTTGAAAAACCAAGGTCCAAGGGAGGTAAATGACAGACAAAGGAAGAACAATATGTATTATGGTTGGAGGGAAGGGGTAAAAGAAAGACTATGCTTCTGTCATTTGTAATTGGGAGGGAGGTCTTGCACAGAGAGTTTATTCCAAGTGCCTGATCTTTGCCCTATCTGGGGAACATAGGAATTAAGTCAGATATTAAGCAAATGCTTTGGTCTCACTGGAAAGCAGCTTGCATCTGGAGCAAGTGAGCAAAAGCCCATGTCAAACAGCACATTGGGGAAACTGTGCATGTCGTTCTGGATAAAGAAATGCCATCTCAGTCCTCGAGCATGGCAGGAAAGAAGCTGCCTTAATAGCTGACTATGGAGGAAACGAGCATGGCCCAGTAGAGCAGTGAGGACATTTTGGGAGCTCTGGAGGGCTGTGATCACCTGAGAGGGTCAGCTATTCCACTGTGCTTGATAAGCAGAGCTGCCCTTCCAACAGCAGTGCTGTGCAGGTACTGCTGTGTTTGTGTTGCTGTTTTTTCCCATTTCCTGAGAGCAGTAGCACCTCAGGTGTCCTTAAGGCAGGGCAGCAATCTCTCTGTGCTCTGACACAGCACAGTCCTTGCCAGCCTGCAGTCCATGCAGTTCCCAGGCATCCAACAGTGCTCAGCAAATGTACAAAGTGCAATACAAACCATAACCTTCCTGCATTGGCAGTCCAGTGTGTGTAATCAAACCTGGGGAATGTCAAAGAATAAACAGGCACTCACAACTTAGGTTCACTTTTACCTGGGCCTAAGTACAAATTACTGCTGTGACTGTGCCATGGGATGCCTTCAGTTTATTCAGGAAAGGCTTAGCAGGCCATTGAACAAGGCACATACAAGATGCTGGTGTAACATTTTCAAGGCAGAAACCTGGAGAGGAAGATGGGAGCATGGTAAGCACATGGTCCTTAGGTGTTCCAGGTGCTCAGAGTCAAATTCTGCTCTGCCATTCAGGACTCTATGGTACCTAAGAACTGCTGTTGTCCTTTGAGGAGTTAATTAAGGCTGCATTCCTTTCTGTGGACACTGCAGGATTGTATTCTGCATAGCATTGCAGGCTGATGCTCAGGGAAACTGCTGAGTAAGAGCATACAGAGCACTGGGGACAAGAGAAAAATGCCTCAACTTCAATAGATTCAGTAGAAAAAAATACCTTTCTGCATACAGGGTGGAATACGATGGTGCTGGCCACATTCAAACCCAAGAGCAGCTACAGGTTACAATGGCTTTCAAATACCAGCCCTAATTTCTTTCTGGTTTTACAACTTACTTGCTGTGAGAAGAGGGAATTTACCCCAAAAGGAGGGAACCAGGGAATTCACTTTATTTATATTTAATTTTCCTCAGTGACTGTTTATTTTTGAGGAACATCTCTACCCATCCAGTCATCAAAGCAGGTTCTCATAGTCAACATCCTGGCCTTGGACCATAACCACAAAAAATGGAAGAATTCACTTTGCTGTGGACCTTTTGGGTGTTGAGAATATCTGGAGATACAGTCCCATGCTGGTGGTGCCTCTGTGGTCTAATTAGCCTTTATTGCTACTCTTGCCTGCCTGCTTACTTCCATGTTAATTTATGTGTCCCAAGATGCGCCGGTGCATCTGTTCCTTATTTCCTGGGTATGCATTTACTTTCTTGCTGAGTACTGAAAGGGAAGGAGATGAAATGCATTGAAGATCTTGATTTAAAGCTTCAGAATTTCCCTAAATCTGTTAAGAACTGTTTTCATGTCCCACTCCTCTCTACCCTCTCTGATGGCGGGGAGACACCCAGCATGGCAAGCTGGAACATGGGCACCAAAGCAGAGACAAACCCCTGTCACTTCACTGACTACAGCCAATAATGGGCACTGTCTTCCCTGCACCCAGTCCTGAGTGTACTTTTTGTGATATCTTGACCCTCTAGTGCAGCATTGTACACTCAGCATTTGGTTCTTCCACCAAGTGTCCTGTATCATTTTGAAGCTGATGATGTAACTGGTGGTGGTGATGCACAGGGACTAATTTGGGATGCAGCTTGTCTAAGGCAAGGAGGGAAAGATGGGAGCAGGTCAGACTAACTTCAGTTCAAACAGTCACCACCCTGCCTCACCCCATACCTGCCCAGCTGCCTCTTCCTTGTGATATTTTGCTACAAAGAAGAAACTTCTGTCAGTGGAACAGACCTAACCTGACTCCACAATGAATTTCATCATATTTCCTTTCCTTCACTTGCCATGCTTTGGCCAGTGATGCCTCATGTGCATATGTCAGAGCAAGCCTGTGCTGCCAGAAGAGAGGGGACAACTCACAGGCAGAGCTCACAACAGGATGATTCCATGAACAGAGTGACAGCCAGACTTCAGGATGTCATAGCCCAGACTGGACTGTCCTATCCACTAAGCCTTCATATTTGGTTTACTGTACCTAGTCAGGGTCACAGGGAAAAGCAGCTGCTGGTTGATCCAAAATGTTGATGTCAGTGATTGATTAGGAAAAATCTGTCAGTGTGTAACTGCCTCTCAGTTGACTCGAAAAGGGACTTCTTTTGATGGTGGGTTCTTCCTGGTTCCCCAATAGCACATGCCAATCCATGCTGCTGTGATGAGAGGGGTTTGAGTCAGCTGGGATAGCACATCCAAGAGAGGTCATTTGGACCTCTCTTGATGATAGGTCATCCCTTCCCACTGCTTCTGAGGTCTTGTATGATGGCTAGCAAGCTTTCCCAAGCATGAATTATGCCACTCTGGATTTTACTGAACCATTTCTCCTGCACTTCCCCAGGCCTTTCCTTTCAATTACATTAAAATCACCAAAGTTGTGGGAAGAGCATTTCTCAGCTTCTGGAAAAGCCTTTATTTAGGTTTATGAAGCAGCTTGTTTGAACAGGTTCTGTCCAACCACTCTCCTCACTTCATGCTTGCCTGGGCATGTACGAGGAAAGGAAAAACAGAGACCAGCTTGTACTCTTGGCTGTTTTGGGGAATCCTGCCACTGCATGGGTCAAACCTATGTGCTTGGACCTCTGGGGATCAGCAAAGGTATGTCTGGAGGTCCTCTGGAAGATTTCTGGAGGAGGCAGCAGGACTTGCACTCCTGACCAGGATAATTCCTGTTGAGAGACTGAAGAGCAAACATCCATTAGCTTTAATTTTGCTGGCAAAGGAAGGTGACAGGCACCTGGGTGAAGCTTCCCCCTCACCTGTGGCACATGAAAATTCTCTACCAGTCTGGCAGCCACACTTGGGTTGGAGGAGGGAACCCATGCATCCCTGGTGGACTCCCTGGCAAAGCTGGCATGAGCCATTCATGAGCTGAGGACCCCTGCAAGGCACCCCAGTGTCATCCTCCTGCTGTGGCTGCCCTGAGCAGTCTGTGCCAGTTGAACCCAGCCAGCTACTTGGAAAACCCCTGTCTGTGCCATGGGACTAAGTGAAATATCATTTCCCAGCCTAATGGACAGATTGTTAAATATACAGTGATTTACCAGCTCTTTCACTGCAATAACTGTTCACACATTGTCTCTTTGCCTCTTTCACTGTTCTTATGATTCATGCTATTTGGTTGCCCAATTCCAAAATGAGGTTTCTAAGCCCCAGTCTTTCCTTCCTCTTCTCTTTCCTTTTTCTTTGACAGTTTATAGACCTGAGAGAAGTTTTTCCAATCACGGTAATATCTTCATGTTTTGTTGACAAAAGGTCAACACGGAATAGCACAACTAGGAATAAGCCAAACTGGTTTTAGGAAAAATATTTGCTTATTTAGTAAGAGGATGTCAAATTTATGAGGGTGAAATTGAATCTGGTTATTTGAACTATTCTGAAATAAAACCTTCCCACCCACTCCAAGGGGAAGAACAAGATTTATAAATTGCTTTAGGCTGAAGCAGAATGTAGAAATAAACTGTTTCTGTGCAAAAGGTAATAGAATCCAAAGGAAGAACTAAAACTAGAGCTTAAGAGACAACAGCCCATTCAGTCCCTCATGCACACTGTTCATTTCCTACTACCATTCCTTACAATAAAGGTCATCATCAGGTTCCCCAGTATCTGACCTACCAGTTCCACAGCATCAATCCTTATCCATTGGTGAAACATTTGCTCACTGTCAGAAAAGAAAGTTCCAGTAGCTTACCTGGTCATCTAAACCGGGAATCTCTTCTGTAGCATGATTTCTCTGGTTTGACGTTAAATTATTGTTGTAGTGAGGGTGGCTGTGACAATCTGTTAAAACTATAGGGTTTTCTGACTTCAGGGAACCAAGGTACAAGTAAAAGGAGCAAGTACAATGGAGTGCCCGAAAAAGAAACACTTTAATGAGAAATGAAATAGGGATGAAGCCCATAAACCATACACAGTTCAGGGACAAATGCCAAAGATAGGACTAGGGGTGGAGACAACAATATATAGGGTAGGTCTGAGGGCGGCATCTGAGGGCATGGGTCCAATCACAAACTGGGGTTACAAATATGCAAAATACTGTGACAAAAACAACCAATCAGAGGAGAGAACTGGGAACATTTTAGAAACATAACCTTATACAGGGTGGCTTGATTAACATATTAACTGCCATAAACTCTTTCTTTTTGCCATAATTTAAATGAATGTTTTCCAAGGCTTGAATTTAGTGCCTGTTTTTTTCTGGGTGAAGTTCAGCTGGCTTGGATCCCCAGCCAGACCCATTCCCACAAATTATAGTTCTAAAATAGGTCTCTCACACCTTTGCATGAGAATGCCAGGAACCCCACTCAGTTCAGAGGTAATTTGCATGAATAGCACTGCTGAACATGTGTGTTTGGAGGGTCCTGTCCCAAAGATCTTCTCTCTTTTCTCTGAAAAGACTAGCCAACAGTGCAACAAGTTAAGTCACAATTTTCCATAGAGAATATGAAGAGGGAATGTGCCACACACATGCATATATGTATCTTCATATATTTTAGAACTTTAAATGTGAATGTGCATGTGTATGCATATACATGTATATGAAACAGAATAATTCAGGCAGGAAAACCCCCTGGAGGGGTACATGTTTAATCCCTAGAAAGACAGTCCAACCTGATTTTTCAGGCCCTTGTCTAGTTAAGTGCTGAGCCCTTCCAGATGTGAAGAAATTCTCCTGATAATCTAATTAGAATTTTCTTTCCTGTACCTTATGACTGCTGTCTCTGTCCCACCACAATGCACCTCTGAGGACACTCTGACATATACACATATGAGTATATCTGGGTGTACACACATATGCATACCAACACACACACAAGGCTTTTTTTGTCCTTCCTCTGTGCATCTGAGAGATAACAAGCAAGTGGAATCTAGCTCTGGCCCAATGCAGCCATTCCTATTTCTAGTAAACTCCAAGCAACTGTGGGGAGGATCAGGTATTTTCTTCCTTCTCCTGCTGGTGCAAAGCTTGAGTTCCATCGAGACACATGCCCCACTCATGGCTTGGGACACGACATATCTTTCCTCTTTCAGCATGATTATTACAAAACATTAATTGGAGCAAGAACTACAGTAAAAAAACCCTCTTTAATGAAGTCCCATTGACACTGGATGCTTGTTAAAAAGCAACAGAACATCAAGCAGTTCTTTGCAGTTATTAGAAACAAAGATGAGCCATTATTGAGAGTTCAACTGACTTGGGTTAACCCTACTGTCATGCATGACATATTTTGGCAATTTCTAGATAAAGAGGAGGCGGGATACAAAAAATGAAATCAAGTTTTTTTTAGGTTTTATATAATTTTTAAACAAGGCAACAATATTGTTTTTAGATACTTGTTATTGTTTGTAGATATTCTGCTTCTCTTTCTGTATGTAGCTACCACAGCTACTATAGGACTGGAGATCAGCTATCATCAAATCCTTCTGGACACGGAACTTGCTTGGGCATAGCTGCATATGTCGTGGGCTTAGAGCCATAAGAAGAATGAGGTCAAACTATCTCGCAGCATAGAGGCAAAAATGATGAAGCTGCTTGATTGTGAAACAATCTTCTTGCTGGGAAAGCTGTTCAGGATTTCATAGTTGTTTTGTCCCCAAACATACCACAGCTGGTGTGACCTAGCCTGTGAAAGAATGATTAGAGAGAAATACATGGCTAGTGTTCACAGGAACACTATTTCTGATATATCTATTTCTGATAGAGGTAAATGGAGACTAATCTATCTGTTCCTGTGGACCTCCCAGCCAATTTTCTCCCTAACGGATGGCAGAGACTTTAAATTCATGCTTTTCTCACTTTATAACATGAAAGCAATCATACAGTCAGAGCTGTAACTTCGCACCATTAGCCTAAGAAGAGCACATTTTCACATTTGTCCTTGAGGAACAACCAGGGCCTATTCCAAGAGGATTTTAGTTACTCCAGTGCCACAACAGCTAACTAGCCCATTTACTCTCAGTGGCCCATCAAAGTATATAGAAAGCTTTTTTATAGTAATTTCATAGCTCATATTCTGCCCTTTTCTACACAGGAGAGATCCTGTCATTCTCCCTTCTCTCCTTCCCACTCCAAACACCAACCCACCTCCAGGGGAGGAGACACTTGGCTGCACCTGGCAAGCAAAGCTCTTCACAGAGGCCATTCATGCACTGCTAGTGTCTTTCGGAGAGGTCACACTCACCAAGTACAGCTGCATTTCCCTAAAATTAGCCACATGTTACTGCTGGATGTGTCAGGCATCAAGAGGTAAATGCCATAGGGAAGTCCGAAGTTGGGAGTGGGTTGCTTGAAGATGTATAAAGAAAGAGGCTCAGCACAATGATGTCCTGTCCCATGGGAAACAGTGAAGCTTGAACTGACTTCAATATACAGGAAAAACAACTGTGGAACAGAGAAGCAGCAGCAGCAAAACAGTCTAAGGTGAGAAAAGATACAAGATCAAATTAAATCAGGAAAGCTATTGTCAAGGGATTGCTTCAATAAGTGTCTGCTAGTCCCTGGCTTCTGTGTGAAAAGAAAATGATCACTTGCCAAACAGAAGAAACTTAAAGAAGCCACTGGATAAATCTGTCCCTTTATGAACTGCCTTTTTGGAGCAAACTCTGCTCTGCTTGTATTACACATGCCAACTCTTAAAACCTTCCACATATATGAAGATTTTTGATTCACACTAACAGCAATTTTTGTCAGTCCATGTGCTGCATTTAAACCAAAGTACTGCACACACTGGCTATTTGCGGTATGGTGAAGGCTTCAGCAAGAATATCTTTGTGTTCAGGGGTAGAAACATGATCCATACAAGCAAGAGAAGCTCTTTGCCTTGGGTCTGGGGTAGCTGGTGTGCCTTCTAAGCACCCTCATCGCTTGGGCCAGCACAGATGAGTTTTGATCTGCTATTCCATGAGCCTCATCACCATTAGACTTCCCTTGAGCAGCCACCTGCAGGTGGATTCGTATCATATACTATTCTTACGCTACATATCTCATTCTTGGCTATTACAAGAAACTGGATTAGAAACAGATACTCAGCATAAACAAGCGAGCTGCTTGAAATGCTCTAAGTATGCAGTTTCAGCAGACTGCATCTAGCAAAAGAATAAACTTAAGTTTCAGGTGGTTTAACAGGTCAGAGGAACAAAGTAATATATTCATGTTGAAAGTGTGCATACACCTGCATATACATTCACACAGCTGCACAATCAACACAATAGTTCCACAATTTAAAAGCATAATTAAGCAAATTAGGTTGATACACAGATCTTTTTTTGACTTGAAGAACATTTTTAACATCTTACCTCACGTTTACTTCACTGAAAATGAAACTCAGAGCTCTTAAGACAGCATTTCATTTTCAGAATGTAAAAAAATAAACCTAAAAACGTCCCCCCTCATCAAGTCTACAGCTATGCCGAGTGTATTCTGTACCTCAGAACAGCAGAATGTTATGCTACACAGGTATTGAAAATATATATTCTTTGTGCATAGAACTGCAGCCAGCTCCCCAAACATTAGGTGCTCAAGGGCCTTAGGGCACTGATGCCTCATAAATTTGAGAGTATATATTAGGTGAGTACATAACTGGAAGTTTTGTAGCAGTGGAAAGTAAGTATGATAATGAGGTAAACACATGTTCCAAAGAAAATACCAGCTAATCATGCCCTCTGTGCAGGAGACAGCAGCTTTAAGCAATCACTTGGGGAATGCTGGAGCAAGGCCTGTGAGTTGCGACAGGATGGGCTGCTCATTAATGACGTCTCTGTGTCCTGTAGCTTTTTTAATGCTGTAAACACAGTTCAACATAAAGGTAACCAATAAGGTGTTCTGCTCCTTTGAGTGCTTTGAAGAACTGTTTGAATGCTCTTTCCATTTGAAAAGGTGGAGTGGTACATGCTGCCTCAGTTTTCCTTAGATAAGTAAGAGGAAGCATCCTTCAGGGAACATAACCACAGGTACAGCCGGGATTCCTCCTTGGGTCTCAGGACACCTCAGGTGTGGTGAGAACTGTGCATTGTGGGCTCCATCTGGAGGTTGTTTGCTCTAATCTGTGTTTTTGGAAGAAATGGAGAGAAAATGCACCAGTGCTGGGTCAAACTCACCAAGTCATTTGGAAAAAAATGACCTTGCAAACTGATGTGCAGGTATCACACAGAGATTGGCAAGTGGTGGGATGAGCTCTACTTGCCCTTGGTAAGGGGAACCTTACAGCTATGCCTGAGATGAAGCTTTTGCTGTAAGTTTCCTTATCCATTGGTCAATGCAGCAAACATGAGACAGAAAACCCAGCATGCAGCCAAGACTGTCCTGTCAGACTGCTTATGTCAGATGCCTTCACAAGTCACCAGGGTGTGTATTTTAAAGTCTGTCTCTATCCCCACCTTCGAGTGTAAAGAGGATGGTAGGGGAGACATCAGCCCAATCTGTGGCTTCTACAGAGCAAACACAGGACTGAGAATGGTCATTCCAGAGGTTCAGGGTGAGGTAGCATGTGGAAAAGGAGAGGTTTGGTAATTTGAATGAGGTACTGATGCATTAAGCTCACAAAGCCCTTGTTTGAGCAAGTTTTGGATGACTTATTCCAAATGTCTGATCCTGGTGGTGTTGCTCAGATCTTTCCCACAGCTTCCACTGCAGTCTTCCACTATTATCTTAGACAATAGGAATTAGTAAAAAAGTTTCAGACTGAGTCATTATGCATGTGCAAAGTCAGAGAGAACTGAGGTGTGACCAGGCCTTCCTCCCACTACTCTGACAGTGAAAGCTGTTGGGAGTGGGGTACACAGGACCCCACAGCCTATCTCTGTTAGAGATATGTTAGATAAAATATAGATATAATATATAGAGATATAATGTTAGATAAAAATTAGTGTTGCATGGTTAAAACCCACCAGTGATGGTTCTTTGTATCTTGCTGGAGGTCTCAGAGGGTTTGTAGCAGTGAGGAGTTGGAGTAGTGCGGAACTGTTGAGCTGCGGAACTGTTGAGCAGAGATCCATGAAAAACCAGGGTGTTCTGTGCCTAGAAAAGTCAAGCTGAGTGGGATCTCTTTACTTGAGGACCTGCTGTGTGTTCATGTACTCATCATCCTCCTATCTGAATGGAAAAAAAATGCTGGGGGGGTCTTAAGCCAAGGAACAGTTCTAGATATCCCAGGGATCCTTTCCTCTTTTGATGCAGTGAAGATCATTGTGGTGTTAGGGAGGTCAGGAGAAGTATTTGCGGTGAGAAATGTCTGTGAGATTTGCCATACACCCTATAATCACACCCATAGCTGTAAATATTATTGCCAGCTCTGCTTTCTGCATGACCATGCACTTAACACTGCCAGGAGAAGTAGATGCCCCAGCTGCAGACTGCTGCATGGGCCTAGGGAACCCTGATTTTTTGGCTCTGATTTTATGTGAAATAGCACCTCAAAGGTAGAGGCTGGAAGAGCAGTCTGTGCCATAAACAGGTCTGTAACAGAAAACAGCAGCAGAGATCTATGTCTGGGATCCAAATCCCACAAGCAGGGCAGGACTCTCCTCTCGAGATGGGGTGTGCAGGAAACTGCACATGGTCCAAATTACATTTTGCCATGGAGTGAGTGCCAGATGTCCCATAGGGTGAAAAAGTATAAAGAAAAACTGAAGGAGAATGGGAGCTTGAGGGGACATGTGGACTTCAGTCAGCTGCTTAATGACATAAGTTTCATGGCTACACTTCTCTTACACCAGAGGCTATAATGACTGCTCCATTCCCAGGCAGCTTCTGAAAGAAAAAACATGTCTGTAATTAATTACCCAGGGTGTTAAACTGATGTGCAAGTAGAGTTTTCATTTTCATAGACTATTTTACATTTTCTATTCATAAAACTAAACAGTCTTCCCTAAGTTGTGGGTAGCAAGGGCTGCTGAAGTTATTTCCTCCATTTCTTCAACACTGCTTAAAATCAGCTTCATAGGCCCTCTTCCACAAGAGGATTATTATAGGCTGCACAGTGTGGTGCTGAAGGAAAAAAAAGCAATTTTTGATATGTACACAGACCATCTTTGACTTGCAGGAAGAGCTGAGTTACTATTGCCAGCAAGATGTAAAAATTTGGAGGGAGGCCTGCAGATCATATGGAGATAAAATTATGGTAATGGCCTGTCACACAGAGGATAAGAAAGAAATTGATAAAAAGATGCTGCTTTATTGCTGTGTAGATCCCTTCCTGTGTAATATGGTGACCTCTACTTCTATGTCCATGTACTGGTTTATAGCTCTTACTGGAGGAAAAAGATATTTGACAAATGACATACATACCTGGCCCAAAAGAAGAATGTTCAAATCTGTCATGCATTACACAGCTGTTGAGTATCAAGTGAGAAACTGTTTCTGGGGTGGCAAAGTGATCATTGATAGGAGGAAAATAACTTTCCAATATAATGGGTGCTTTTTCCATGGTTTTATCAAGTGCCACCATGAAAATGACTGGAACCATCCAGTGGGGATGACCTTGGGTATTCATGTTACACAATGAAGCAAAAGATGGATGGCCTAATGAAAGCAGGGTTTACCATCAGATTCAGATGGGAGGACAAGTGAGCTGCTATGAAAAGAAACAGATGGGGAGCTTATGCTCTTAGCCAGGACCAAACTGTCCAGGCTCTTATCCCCAGAGATGTGTTTTCTGGCAGCAGGTCAATGCCATTTGTCTGTACTACAAAGCAGCCCCTCATGAAAAGACACACCAACCACCTACTTTAGGATGGTAGCAATAAAGGTGTACTTACATGGGCTCTTTGCCCTAGTGCTTCTCAGGAGCATAAATGGCAAATTATTATTTTCCCTGTCTGAAACCTGCCAGGCCTCCTGCTGATGAATGGAACTCCCTTGCTGTTGCCTGGTACACTCTGGAACTGAACAATAGTCTGGCAAAGTGCTACAGCTGTGAAATCTATGAGGTCTGGCATTTTGAATAGAGAAGCAACAGCCTTTCCTTGGATTACATAAATATATGCCTCTGCCACAAGCAGGAAGCTTTAAGCTGCCCAGCCTAGTGTGTAGATGCAGACAAAACCCTGGTACATATACTAAAGATTACAGGCAGAAAGATGCTGTTTTGTAGCTTGAGCCTGTTAAATAAGGAGTTACATGGTTATCCCTTCACCCTGGCTTCTGATGGTCCCTCCTGAGATTTGTCCATGAGGATGCAGCCACTGACTGGTTGAAGCACCCCCAAGGATGTGTGTCCCTGATTTGCAGGACTGTAGTTTCTAGTTTTCCTTGCCTCTGTATGATTGTGCCTACAGTTTTTAAATCCTCACACATTCTGCATGACCTTGCCTTTACCCCAGCACAGGCTCTGGGACAATCCTGAGTCACTGAGGGTACTCCTTCAGACAAAGACTATTTACCAGACATGCCCTGAACTGCATTATGATGGCACTTTGCTCATGTTGTGACACAAGAACAGGCTCCATTAGAGGCTTTTCCAGTCTATCCTTCCATCTGTTTCTTCTGTTATCCCCTGACTCAAGCAGTGCCAGCCTCTTCAGTTCTTTGGCATTTCTGGACCTTTATAACACTGTACACTCACCATTTCTTGTCCACTCCATATCACGTATTCCAACAACTGCACAAGGGAGAAATGAAAGTAATTTTCTTTTCAAAATATAAGTTGTTCTTTTTTCCATAGGAAAGGAAAAAAAACTCTCAAGTTTCAGGTATACCATGACAGTATTTTCAAACAGCAGCCACAGAAACAAATCAGTAGTGTTTCTTATTTTAATTGCATAAACCCAAGATGAATAAATTTTATCAAGCCTGTAAGTATACAGAGGTGTATTCTTTTAATATTTTTGTCTACTTTTATTTAAAAAAGGAAAAATGAGCTTACAGTTTCAAGCCAAATTATAAAAACCAAACAAGGCTGAAAGTGAAAGACGAGGCAGAAGAATGTGTGGGCTTTTACTTAAAAAAAAATTATCTGGAAGTCAAAGAGAGGACACACAGGGAGAGCTAAAAGCCAGAGCAGCTGCTGATGCCCTTGAATTTAAACAGCATCTGAAAATCCCAAGTCTCTTATCCATCACTTAACATGTAGTGAAAGAGTCCAAAACACAGCAGCCCTTCAAGCCCCAGATGTATTCTGGGGCACTAGAAGTTTAGTAGCCGTATTTTTCATTGAGATAAGTCTTGCCATCACCATTTTGACCTAATGGACAAAGAGGAAGAGTTGCATTATTCCTTTATACAGAGAAATGTGTATCCCTATATGAAACAGTCTCTAGGTAGTACCAGCCATACAAGCAGAGGATAAAAAGTCAGACTGCATATTGCAACAATTTATACTTTTGATTTACATTTACAGTTCATTTCAATTTTACTAACAATGTTAAGACTACATCAGGTACTCCTGTTTTTGTGGCTGTTTTGTTTGGGTTTTTATTCTGAAGTCCTCATAATGCCAGCTTAGAAGGAACATTTGACTATTTATTGTCAGGCAGAGGCAAAAAAACACAGCTCCCTCTTATGGACACAGCTTGCTTAACTATCCCAGATCAGACTTTGGAGTTACTGAATTTGCTCCTGTGGATTCATATGTCAGAGATGGGCAGTCTTTTCATAGAAGGATGATTCACTTGATTACAGTTTTCTTCAGTGAAATTTATTCTTATATAAATAACCTTGCAACAGCCTTACAAAAATTATAGTAATGAATCAAGTAAAGACTAAGCTTTTAACTTACTCTGAAAACTTCAGTGCACGAAAATGAGCTCTCTGTTTTAGAGGAACTGAACATTCATTACCCTGTTTAAAAATAACCTCACCAACCTAAAAACACCCTTGAACTAAAGATAAAAAAATATTCAAGTTTAATGTATGTTGGATGAGTGCATCAATTATTCAGTGCTTTCATCGAAGCATTATCAAGACTCTTCTCCAAAACAGCTGACCTAGTGTTTGTATGCCAATGATTTTTGCAGAAAACTGCAAAGAAGCATTTTGGATTTCACAGACTTCTGTGAAAACTAAGAATACTAACACTGTTGGAGCATTTATCCCTAGGGAAAGTTTGAGCTTGCCTTTCAGCTAGGTTATCATACCACCATATGTGAATTCAGTTAGCTCTCTCAGGTGTTACAAAACTGAAAAAAATACTTCAGGTGTATCTTTCCATTGCTGTGAAGCTACTACAGATACGGTCTGTATTTCACTGCAAGACTTGCATGGCCATGCAACAAACATGGGGCATAACATGCCACAAAACATCAGGTTCTGGGTAAAGTATTCCTGAATTAGCTTTTTCTCAAGGACTGACAAGGACTTCCTGACAACTCATTAGGAAGATTCCTGAGTTATGAGACTAAAACCAGTAAGCAAATGGTTGATACCTGCAGGAGGAATCCATATGCAGTAGTCTGGGTCATCATCTGGGTACTGTGAGGAAAAAAAAGGTTGTTGGACCTACAAAGAGAGGAAAAGACTTTTTAAGGTGCTGTACCCCACCACCAATGTGTTACAGCCACTAAATCCCTCACTAATTCAGAGACAAATAATGAGGTGAAGTTTTTTTCTACAAGAGTCAGGGATGAAAACAGTAATACGGAAGAAAGATCAAACCTTCAAATAAATCCAGTTCATTTCCATTTGAGTCACAGACTAATAAAAATGCTGTTTAGAGGGGACTTCTGGAGGACATCCAGTCCAATTTCCCGCTCAAAACAGAACCTGTCCACTTCTGGACAGTTTAATACTAATGTTTGGTGATATCATTTGACATAGGATTTCTTTATGTAGGGAAAAGCTTTAGAGTAGGATTTTCAATAGCTGTTTACAGATTTCAATGCACAATACCACTGGAAACTTTGGATTTAAGGTGACTTTCAAACTGGAGTTTATAAAGTTTCAAGTGTTGTATAAGGATAACTTAGTTTTCAAAAAGAAAAGAACATTCATTGTTCTTAGGTCTAGCTAGCATCTTGAAATGTTAAAGGAAACCA